AGAACTGCAATAGAGAAAGGGCTTAATTCATGCCGAGCCTGCTGAATGGGAGACCACAGGAGTGACTGGCGGGCTTAGGTGGAACCATCAGTCATCAGAAATGCAAAAAACCTGAAAAGACATCTCAAAAGGCCAATCTTGGCTTCTATAATAATGATATTATCTGCAAGAGTAACTGGGGGAAGTTACCCTATCTTGTGACCTCTGATATAATGACAGGTAATCCTTTATGTCTACACCTTAGCAGAATTCAGGCTCCTCTCCCTAGCCTGGTGGACTTTCATTAGCTTTACCAAGGTGGTTGAGTTTTGGGAAAGGGTTACTATAATTTAAATTATAAACTAAATGTCTCCCAAGTTAGCTTGGCCCAAATCCAAGAATAATTAAGGACAATTTGAAAGCTTAAAAGCAAGATAATGGGTGGGTTAGATCAGATCTCTTTCACTGCCATAATTTTCTCAGTTATAATTTTTGCAAAGGTTATTTCAGATGTGGGACTTTCAGTTTTCAAACTGGGAAGCTCCTGGGACAAGTTGATCCCATACATGTTTTACACATTATCTAGGCAGATTAGCATGCCTCAAATGCCAAAATGGGACAAGGGTGGCATCAGAGAAGTATGATCCAATTTAAATATTTGCAAACTGAATCCAGCAGTTTATTAAAAAAAGTAACTTGGAAAAAAAGAACAGATGTACGTGTTCTTAAACTGATAAAGGACATCTACCAGAAGTGACAGGAAACTAAGACACATTGTAAGTGTTCTCAGGGCAGTGGGGAGCAAGGCAAGTATGTTTGCTGTTACTGCAACCGCTTAACATTGTATAGGAGGTGTCAGCCAAGAGGATGAGGCCCAAAATATGCAAATATTGGAAAGAAAGGGGCAACACTGGATTCTTTGTGGAGAATACTATTATCTATGATAAAAGCCAACCAGTGATGAACAGACTACCAGAATAAATCAAATTCAGCGAGGTGGCTGTATAAAGAGCTCCCATTCCAATTAATAACAAATTAGACTATACAGGAAAACAGGGAACATGACCAAGGGCTTCTTATGTGGCAGGTTTTCTGCCACACACTTTTTAATGTATTCTCTTCTACCACCCCCAGAACAATTAACTTGCGCTGACAGGAATAAGTGGTGGAGACAGGAATTGAACCTACGTATTTAATCCTGAAGTGTCTTCTATCCAAAATAATTCAGGTCACCATGGCTGTGAATAAACATAAGATCCGGGTGGCAGCAGCAACTCAATGTCCACCCAGATCCCTACTCTCTCTTCCATAGGGTGGAGTTGCAGCTGGTGAGTGGCTCCCAGCAGGGTGCTTCCCAGGCTCCTTGACTTCTGTGTGGGGCCATGCAACTCGTTCTACAAATGAAAGCAAGCAGAAAGGATGCTGGTCAGTTCTTAATCAAGTTGGTTAACAGAGGGACATATCTTCTCCAGGCTCTCTAAATCCTGGCACTAGCTGGATGGCAAAGCCCAGGGTAAGCTCAGAGACTTAGTGGTAAAGATGACAAACCCTTTCTCAGCCTTGGGTCCTGAATGGGTTCCCAAAACTGAAATAGGGTCTGCTACATAAGACAGAAGCAGACTTCCTTTGTGTTAAACTGCTGAAATTATAGAGTTATTTGTTACAGCAACTAATATTATCCTAATTAACACACCCCTAACAAGAAAAGTCTGGGATTTACATGCAAAACTTCTAAACTCTATATGAGACTTGAAAAAAAATGGATACTATAATATACTTATGGATAAGATTCCTGCAAATATATAAATTTTCCCCTAAATATCCCTACTTTAATACTTGTCTAGACCATTTTGTCATTTATTTGGAAGACTAAACAAAAAAGATGAAATGCCACTTTGCCAGAGAATAATAAATGGTAGGAGCTTCCTTAACATATAAGAGGTGTCAGCTAAGATAATGAGGCCAACATATGCAAATATAGAACTCTATCAAAGGCTAATGTAAGATTATGATTAAATCAGAAGTGGCCCTGGCGTGGAGACTGATCAATAGGTCAGTGGAACAGAAATGATAGACCTGAAACAGCCCCTGGCACACATAAGAATTTAGCAAATGACTAAGTTAACATTTGAGTTTGGAATGACAGACAAAGTGGAGAAAGTTGTTGAGATGATTAGGCACCCAATTTGAGAAAAATATTGTGGAAGAATTTCAACCTCATACCATTTTCAAAAATAAACTAACAAAAAACCGGATACAGAAAAACATATTTATCTCCTTGAAATTAAGGAAAATCATAAAGAAAATATAAAACAAGGAAAACACTCACAAATTTGATAACCTTACAAGTGGTATAAAATGTATGACAAGGGCACCAGAAACAAAGTAGGAAATGCTTGTACATAGCAGGCAAATGATCAATACCCGGGATATATATAACTTCTACAAATCAATAAGAAAATAGTAAGTTACTCCATAGAAGAATGGGAAAGGGGTATGTACTGGTAATTCACACAACATACCAAATGATGCTCAGCTCCACTGATAATTGGAGAAATGCAAATTAAAACAGTAAAGGGACCAGGCATGGTGGCTCACGCCTGTAATCCCAGCACTTTGGGAGACTGAGGTGGGACGATTACTTGAGTCTGGGAGTTCAAGACCAGCCTGGCCAACATAGTGAGACCTCATCCCTACAAAAAATAAAGAATTAGCCAGGCATGCTGGCGCACATCTGTAGGCCCAGCTTCTCTGGAGGCTGAGTCGGGGGAGAATTCCTTGAGCCTGGGAGTTCACTGCACCTGCCTGGACAACAGCATGAGACCCTGTTTCTAAAATACAAACAAACAAAATCGAGAAAAGGATACCATCAGGTTGGGAAAAGCATCAAGTTGGGAAAGGTTGCTCATGTCAAATATTGCTGACAGTGTGGAGAAATGGCTCTAATTGTATTTTGGATAATATAGTTTTAAGAGATGGCAATTTGGCAATAGTATTATTTATTTATTTTGAGACAGTCTTACTCTGCCACCCAGGCCGGAGTGCAGTAGTGTAATCACAGCTCACTGCAGCCTCAGCCTCCCAGGTTCAATCGTTTCTCCCACCTCAGCCTTCTGAGTAGCTGGGACTACAGGTGTGCACCACGAGGCCCAGCTGATTTTTTTATTTTTTGTAGCGACGAGGTCTCACTAGGTTTTCCAGGCTGGTCTTGAACTCCTGGGCTCAAGCGATTCCCCTGCCCCAACCTTTGAGAAGTGCTAGGATTACAGGTGTGAGCGATGGTGCCCAGCCTGGCAATACCATTAACACTTAAAAAGCACCCACCCTTTGACACAACAATTTCACTTCTGTCCGTCTACGGTAGGAATTAATTTACTCATATATACAAAGAGCTATATAGAAGGGCTTTTACTGTAGCAATAATGGTAATAGGAAAACTTGAAAACAACGAGTGTTCGTTCAGAGGTGAACTCTGGAATACCACAGGACAGAACAAAAGAATCAAATGGTTCTTCATGGGCTGCTGTGGAAATAGATACGATACTTAGAGATAAAATACGTCATTAAGTTAAAAAGAATATTGCAGGACACTGCTTATAATGTCATTTATATAGGATTAAAGAAAACCCGCAAAACAAACCTTTGTTCTATGTGTGCCTATATATGCCTGTAAATGTTGAGAAAAAGAGAAGTCTCAACAACAGAGTCAAGTTGGTGGGAGCCTGGGGGTGGGCGGGGAAATGGGCGGGGCCTACCTTGGAGACATGTTTCCTTTGACTTTGTTGGGAGTCTTTGACAATGAGAATGTATTTGTACGTATAATAGTATAATCTAATAAATCCAAACAGGAAAAGATGGAAATCCTGAAGCTTCCACCCCGGAGATTTTTACTGCAATGGTGTATTATTTCATTCTTACACGGCTATAAAGATGAGACTGGGTAATTTAGAAAGAGGTTTAACTGGCTCGCAGTTCCACAGGCTGTGCAGGAAGCATGATGCTGGCATTGGCTCGGCTCAGAGGCCTCAAGAAACTTACCAACATGGTGGAAGGCGAAGTGGGAGCAAGCGCTTCACAGGGCTGGAGCAGCCAGCAGACTGCGGGGAGGTGCCACACACACACGTGGCGCGATCTTGGCTCACTGCAGTATTCGCTTTTCGGTTGGAGGGATTCTCCTGCCTCAGCCTTCCGAATTGCTGGGATTACAGGCATGCGCAACCACGGGTAGCTAATTTTGTATTTTTGGTACAGATGGGGTTTCTCCACGTTGGTCAGGCTGCTCTCGAACTCCGGACTTCAGGTGATCTGCCCGCCTCGGCCTCCCAAAGTGCTGGTTGCCACACACTTCTAAACTATTAGATCCTGGTATGACTCACTCTTACCACGACAGCATCTGGGGGATGGTGTTAAACCATGAGAAACGGCCCCCATGATCCAATCACCCCCCACTAGGCCCCACCCTCAACATTTGGGACTACAATTTGACATGGGGCTTGGGTGGGAATACAGATGTAAACCATATTAGATGGTTCGGTGGGAATCCGTGTTTTTTTGTTTGTTTGTTTTGTTTTTTTGACATCTCCTTGGGTGATTCTGAAGCTGTGAGTCATAGTGAATTACTGGCTATTGGAGGCTATGTATTGTAGACCGTAATTCAGCTTCTTATGTGTTTTCTATAATACGTAATTTTCTTTTATTGAGATGGAATCTTGCTCTGTCACCCAGGCTGGAGTGCAGTGGTGCAGTCTCCACTCACCACAATCTCTGCCTCCTGGGTTCTAGCAATTCTTCTCTCTCAGCCTCCTGAGTAGCTGGGATCATAGGCATGCACCACCATGCCCAGTTGATTTTTATTTTTTGTATTTTTAGTAAAGACAGGGGGTTTCACCATGCTGGTCAGGCTGGTCTCGAACTCCTGACCTCCGGTGATCTGCCTGCCTTGGCCTTGCAGAGTGCTGAGATTACAGGTGTGAGCCACCGTGTCCAGCCTATAATATGTAACTCTTTAAAATAACAGCGTAGTGCTTGTTTCTGCAACACAGATATTAAAATTGGAACCATACCGAGAACATTAGCATGAGTTCCCAAGGATAACACAGAACTTTGTAAAGTATTCCACATTTTTGTTAAGATGCTGGATTTTGTTATGTGTATCTTACCACAATTAAAAAAAAAACCAGTATGAATCATTTGACTGAAACCACAGAGACAGATTGAATAAACTGGGGCCTTTGTCACTAATTCAAATGTCATCAGTCTCTAAACGAATGTTGGTTTTTCCTTTTTCCTTTCAGGAATAACTAACTTTTCTCACTGGCAGCAGTTTTAGGTACAGACACACCTCCAGCAGTCTGTGACCCCCCAGCGCTCTACATGTCCCCGTGGAATATCTCTGGTGACTCCGTGTGCAGCACACAGCTCCACACCCTGTCACGGAGCTCTTGAGAGTCCAGGCATTACCCACTCTGCAGGGTCACCCTGCTGACCTCATGGGATGTGTCCAGCTCTTCACCCTCTGCTCGCTGTCCCATATCATTTTTTCTTCTATTGGGAGTCAGAAAACAGGAAGAAAGGTCTCAGGTCGAGTGAGCCACAGGAAGGATGTCTGTGTGGATAGGAAGCAGCTCAAAAGTTGGGGTGGCCAGACACGGTGGCTCAGGCCTGTAATCCCAGCACTTTGGGAGGCTGAAGTGGGCAGATCACATGAGGTCAGGAGTTCGAGACCAGCCTGGCCAACATGGTGAAACCCCGTCTCTGCTAAAAATACAAAAATTAGCTGGGTGTGGCAGTACTTGCCTGTCATACCAGCTACTTGGGAGGCTGAGGCAGGAGAATTGCATGAACCTGGGAGGTGGAGGTTGCAGTGAGCCAAGATCATGCCACTGTACTACATCCTGGGTGACTGAGAGAGACTCCTTCTCAAAAAAAAAAAAATTGGGGGGGAAGAAACACTACTTTGATTATGGGATGCTGCCCCACCCCTGCTATATAAGGCGTAGCATAAAGTCCCCAGTATTTTGATTTCTGATGCATAGCTGAGCCCATGAATTTCAGAGAAGCACTTTAAGTTTATGGGCCTGGACAAGCAGAGCACTTAGAAAAGTTCCCAGCACACAATAAACACTTAACAAGCGTTCACTCCTATCATGATGGCCCTACCAGTTAGCCTGGCCCACTGGGGTTGTGCCGTTCCTAGCCCAGAAAGCTTTGTCACCTTCTGCACACTTAAACCCAGGAGAGGAAACCACGTCACCCCTCCAGTATGCACACAGCCTTAGGACCAAGTCACCTTAAAACAAGCCCTCCCTGTCTGCTCATCATCTTTGTCTTTATTTGATTTTTCACTCCCACGCTCAGCTAGCAAAACGTGGACTCCATGTTGTGCTTATTAGCCGGACGCTGGAGAAACTACAGGTCATTGGCGCAGAGATCGGTGAGTGACCCCTACGTAAGGGAGGTATGTGGAGCCCACCAGCCGAGCCTGCTCCCGCTCTGCCTGTTGATGCACTTGGCATCCCCACATCTGCTCTCAGAGCCTGGGACACCAACTCTCCTGAGGAGCCCGGTTACAAAGCGGAGGGTGGGATAGAAGGTGTCAGCTTTCCTGCTCATTGGCTTTGGGTGCTGGGGCAAACAGGAACCAACGGAGGCACAAATCAGCCCGCTTTCTCTTTTACCTTGGTGCCTTCATTTCTAGATCAGCCCTGCTCATTCTTGAGGCCCGGTTGCCTGGTTGCTTCCACCACTCCCTCCAAAAGCACCATCTGTGTTTGGGACTTCCCTTCCCTATGTCTATGCCCTGCTCTTGGTGGGAGGATGAGGGACAATGCTTACTGGTGTTTATCAGATTTTAAAAACAGTTTTGATCCGGGGTCGTCATGTATGGATGTAGAGGTTGTACACTGTACAACCCTGAGGCAACTTTTATATCATAATGTTTTATTATTGTGATTTGCTCTGAAGTGTTCCTTGTAAATAATGATGATTGTATAGCTTTTGGGACCTTTGAATTTTAATAATTATTAATTTAATAATTAATAAACTCTAACTCAAAGGGATGACACTTTAGTTATAGAGACTCGTGAAGACCATGGTGGGCTGTCGGGGTGAGCCTTGTTTCCCTGGGGGAGATCTGGGATAGGAGGTAGGTGTGGGAGGTGCGGGCTGTGCAGTCACACTGCAGAGTGCCCGTGCCCTTGAACCAATGAATCCTGCTTTTGTTCTATGTCTGGATATTAGAAGTAACTTTGACAAGGACCGAGACATTCTTCAGTGTTTGCCTCACAACGCTGAAATGTGCTTTTTATCACCCTTTTGAAAGGCAAGTAGTGTCTTTGAAACACTGTCTACTCCCAAACGATTCCTCAGGATTGCCTGGCCCACAAATACTGGCCAACTCCAAAGCTAAAGCGGCTCAGCAAGCCGTTGGTAAACTCCGGTTGTAGCTTTCACACCTGCAGGAAGACTCCTGCAGAAGGCGAGTTGACACACGGTAGTGGGGAGCGCACTGAATGTGGAGCGACCAGAGTGGATGCTCCTGGGTCAGTTCGTCTCTCTAAGCCTTCGTTTTCACCTCTGGGAAATGAAGATCATAATGTCCACTTTAGAAGGCTGTAGGGAGGATGGCCATAAGACAGTGTGTATGTAAACACTCTGTGAATACAGTTGCTGTGTCTGTGTGGAAGAGACACGACGCCTGGGAGCAGAGGCAGCGTCGGACCTTGCTTTTACAGCTGTCAGTCCAGGGGTCTCAAACTTGAGCAAGCAACAGAGTCGCTCAGCGGTGTGTTAAGCAGGTGGCTGGCAGGGCCCCACCCACAGAGTTTCTGATGTGGTAGATCTGGGGTGGAGCCTGAGAATTTGCATTTCTGACAAGTTTCCAGTAACCCTGCTGCTGTGCTTTGTGGACTTCACTTTGAGAACTGCTGCATTAAATCTATCTTAATGCACATACTTGTCCCTGTAGCAACTCTTAGAGACACGTAGAAACCACCGTTTGCCAATCTCTTCGCACCTCCCAGCATTTACTCAGAGCCATCTCCCTTTTCGATTTGGGGCAATGGGCTGTCCTGAGTGTGCTCAGGTAATACAGGAGCACTGGGGTAACTTCAAGGGCAAGGGGGCATTTGGATCCCTGTTCATTAAAAAAAACTGTTGTCTCTCATGCAGAGCAGACTACAGGGAGTAGTGTGAAGATTATACAAGCAGATTTTACCAAAGATGACATCTATGAGGATATTAAAGAAAAACTAACAGGCTTAGAAATTGGAGTTTTAGGTGAGTAAATTGCAAGATGCAAAGCTTGCTCTAATACATCAGTGAAATAACCTGGCACTGATTAGTGACACTTGATTATTTCATGGTAGTTTATATTCAATCCATGAGTATGGTATACTTATGGATTATAATATACTTAAAATATACAGTATTTTAAGCTGTAGCATTAAGCTGAATGTCAAAGCACAATTCTTCAAGAGGCATTACTGAATAAAAAAAACTTACATATGGCTTTGGAAAGTATCAAACGTACGATTCGACCCCAACCATATTTTCTAATATTAAAATGAATTTTCTTCTATGGAACTGAAGTTAACATTTGGCAGAAGAATAATCTCAGAAACATTAGCCTAAAGAAATTAGTTTAGCAAACAAACATTGCTGTTATTGCTCCATGAAATAGTCAGTATAGTTAGTGGAGAATTGAATCTTTCTTATTCATAAAACAATTTATATTTGTCATAAAATGACAAGGTATTTTATGGCCACATGCACAGTGCAGTGTGTATAGTATATACAGAAGAAAATAAAATTTGATTTCTAAACCTTCTGCTGAATTTTGAAAATAATTACATTTATATATATAAAAGTGTAAAGCATATCGTTGCAGAAAAATTGGAAAGGACAGACACGCTGATAAAATAAATATGAATCTCTTAAAGTCCCAGTACTCCGAGCACTTTGGTGCATATTTTTCTAATCCTACACACACACACGTATTTTCAAAACTGGAATTATACATTTGTGCGGTTTTGTCATACATGTTTTATAAATTTACATCATGCGTGCTCTCCTATGCCTTTAAAATTGTAAGCAGCCAGAGTTGTTAATGACTACACACATTCCAACATATGACAAACTCATGACTCATTGAAGGGGTCTCTATTGATGGACTAAATTTTCCCTCCAATTTCCTCACTGTTATCAAATCATGCTGCGATGAACAACCTTATATGTAAATCTTTTTGTACATGTTTCTTCGGGAAAATCTCCCACTTGCTCTTCTGACATATTTTTGTTTTGCTCCTTCCTGCCAGTCAACAATGTTGGAATGCTTCCAAACCTTCTTCCAAGCCATTTCCTGAACACAGCGGATGAAATCCAGGTAGACTTGTGCTCTCCTGTGTGTGGATTCCTCTTACCCAGGCTCTGGGACCCTTTGCTGGATAATCACTCAGGCCTGGGAAGGAGTGATGGAAGCATGCATCTGGCTGATCCTTTACTGTATGTATTGAGGCCCCCTTTACTCGTCACCTTAGCACTTGATCCACCGTCAAGAGTACAACTTTTCATGATATCTCTGGGATACAGACATCTTCCTCATTCTCTGCACATCAGACTTACCTGTCCATTTTCCCGTTCTTTGGGACTCTGCCCTCTGCTTTATAAAGGGTAATTCTGCCTAACAGATTCACAGTGGTGAGTATATATGGGAGAAGGATAGCCCTTTGGCTTTCTCTGTCTCCCCAGGTGATAAGATTTGTTTAACTTTCAGTGTGAGGGAAGCACATGACATGAACTGTATGGCTGGAGGATTGTAAGTTCAGTGAGCTTGGCTCAGACCCTCGGCTGCCGTTGTTGGTTGAGTACGTTTTTAATGCATTGAACAGCTCTTGAAGACACTATTTTTGACCCTTCCTCAGGCCCTGACCTTTGGAGTCACAGGGCTGCACCAGTCTGAACAGTCTCTCAAGCTTCCACTCCCCACTTCTGCAGGGATCCTGCGGTCCTGTGTAAGCCCTGCATCCGCTGCATTGGGTTATAATGTCACACCGCTTGGATGTTGTTACACATCCTCACCACACTCCTCTCTGGACCACACACCTCCCGCTTGGTCTCTCTCTTCCA